AAAAATGAGAATAGACACCTATTATGTAAAGGTACAGAATCCCAATGATGAATGTAATTGTATTGTATACCTAGATTGTCCCAATAACCTCAATAAAAAGAAAAAACATTTAAAAAAATAATAATAATAATCTTGTCAATGGAACATGCTTAGACAAGGGGTGCCCTCAGGTAAATGGAGTCAAATTGCTTCAAAAAGCCATGGCACAAAACAATTACCTATTATGTAAAGGTACAGAATCCCAATGATGAATGTAATTGTATTGTATACCTAGATTGTCCCAATAACCTCAATAAAAAGAAAAAACATTTAAAAAAATAATAATAATAATCTTGTCAATGGAACATGCTTAGACAAGGGGTGCCCTCAGGTAAATGGAGTCAAATTGCTTCAAAAAGCCATGGCACAAAACAATTTAAATGGAATGAAAGGAACAAAACTAAGAATTAAGATTATATAAGAAACTTATAGGAAATCACCATGTCTTTCAGTTAAGCAGTACTTTCTTAGACATGACACCAAAAGCACAAATAAAAATAAGTAAATCATTCTATTAGCTTTTCATTGCTGGTACAAAATACCCAATATCCACAACTTGGTGGAGAATTTAATTTAGCTCACAGTTTGGGGAATTCCATATATAATTGGCAGGCACAAAGGCAGGAACATTATGGTAGGAGGCCATGATGGGACAAAGCGATTTTGTTGGTGACAGCCGTAAAGCAGAGTAGAGAAGCTGCCCTAGTAAGGAAGGTGTGAGGGACTAGATATAGTAACCAAAGAAATGACTCCGTCCCTCTCCCAGATATACCCAGCAGTGTGTTCCATCAATCTAATCTCCTGGGTGGCTCTAAAGTAAATCAAGCTGACACAATCAAGATTAACAACCACACCCCAAACCTTGTTACCTGGATACCCAAAAACATTTCCTTAAGTCATATTTAATCCCCATATAAACAGAAGACCATGATTTCACCCAAATTATACAATTATCTGCATACAATCAAAAGTTTAAATCCATTTCCCAAAGTCTTAACCAGTATAGCATTTATCAAAGGTTCATGTGCAAGTCTCTTCTGAGACTCAAGGCAAATTCTCTCTGTAAAATCAAAAACTCCCTCTGTAAGTTACAGAATCCCAAGGTATAATGAATGACCCAGGATGAACATTTCCACTCCAAAAGGGAAGATGGTGGGGGGACCAGAAGAGTTGGACCAAAGCAAGGAAAATCCCCACAGGGGAACCATTAGATCCTGTAGCTCCTTATCTGGCATCTGAGCACAGGGTGATGAGCTGTGAGTTCCAGAGAGCTCGGAACCTTATGGCCTTGCAGCCCCATGGCCTCTCTTTTGGACTGACTTTGCTTGTTGCCTGCAGCTTTCATAAGCAGATGTTCCACATTCTTGGAATCTCTCACTTCCTGGGGTCTCCATTACAGTTTTGCCTTCACTCCCACAGCATCACCCATTCCACTTTCCATGGCTCTTTGTCTGTCCTCCAGTGCCTTCCTTTAAAATCAATTGGTGTGAGAGACTTCCGGATCCCATAATTCTTGCATTCTAAATGTCAGAAAAACCCACATCCCATGCACAACTCCCAAGTCTGTTGTCCGTGGGAACGACAACCAGACCTTCTTGGACCATGACAGCACCAGTCTTTGAGTTCCTGGATGACTGAGCACCATCAAAGGAGTGTTAGAAAACCGATTTCCTAGAAGGCCTTTCTTTAATGAGAGTGCCAGGTATTCTTCTCAAATGAAAGTTTGACACTTCTGCACTCTTAAGCCTATGGTGTTTGCGATCTTGCTGATTCCTGAAATATCTTCAAGTCACTTTCTTAATATCTCCGTACAAAGCACTTGGTTTATTTTTCATGGTGTTAATCTCTTTAGCAGCCACACCTCTTTTGTCTCAAGTTTAATATATGTTGTTTTCTCGGCTAAAATTTAAGTTTTTCAAGTTTATCAGTTCTGCTTTTTGTATCCAATTATCACTATAAATCTGGCTAAAAGCAACCACTAATGGCATTCGATAACCCAAATGTTGAGGTGCTTTTCAGTTTCCTCTACCATATCAATTAGTCCACTTCTCTTAATCCCAGTCTCCTTCAGAGTTTCAGGACATAAGAAAAAATGTAGAAAAATATTCTCCTAAAGCCTAACACACACAGCCTCTATTCCAACTGCCATTGGAGTCCTTATTTCAAGCTCCTGAGCCTGACCTTTACTATCTAAGTTCCTGTCAGCATTCTATCCTCTGAGTTCTGACCAGAATCACCCATCAGGCTTTGCTGACTATATTCCAGGGGTTTCAGCCACTATCTCCATACTTGACAAGCTCCTGCCACAACCCAGTTCCAAAGACTTCCAAACAATGCAGTCAGATAGAGTCCAGCAATAAGCTCAGTTTCCTGGAACCAATTTGTTCTTGGGTCAGTATTCTGGTTTTGGGGACACAATACTCCATACTCACATAATTAAGAAGAGAGATTCAATTTACCTCGTGGGTTGGGGGGATTCAGTCCAAGGTCAGCTGACTGTTGGGCAGGAGCATTTTGGCAGAAGAGCACGAGAGAGTAGAGAGGTTTGTTGTGGCAGCTGGGAAGCAGAGATGGGCAGCAGCTCCAGAATAAAAGAGGCCAGGGACCAGGCAGAGTACCCAAGGCCACATGTACTCCACAGAACCCAGGGCTCCCAGGACAACCAGGGTCAACTTGTCATTTACCTGCTGCAAAAATTAAAATAATTTCTAATTCAAGTGATGCAATTGAGAAAGTGAAAACTCACAGATTGGCTGACAGTGTTTTCTACTAATCTATGATGAGGAATTTGTGTCTAGAGGATCTGAAGAGTTTTAGTACTCAATAACAGGGAAGCAACTAAATGTTAAAATATGACCAAATGATTTAAATAGATAATTCTTAAAAAACAGAAATAAAAATAAAAATGGAAATAGACATATGAAGGGATGCTTACTATCATTATTCATTAAGGAAGCGGAAATGGAAATCACTGGAAATTATAATTAAAAAGTAGCTAAGCTGACTATAATAAAAATACCAAAATGTTGCAATGATAAGGATGTATAGACATTAAAACCACTGCCTATTGCCATTCAGAATGTACACAGCTGCAGCTACTTCAGAAAACAACGAGGCAGTACAGCAATATGTTAACACACACTCATCACATGCTCAGCAGTTCTACCCTGGTTGTCTACCCAGGAAAAGAGAAGTGTACATTCACTCAACAAAGTTTACATAAATGTTCAGTTCAACCATATTCACAAGGGTTAAAAAAAGCAGAAACATTTAAAATGTTCATGAATTTAAAATAATTAAACAGAGTCGGAGATTTAGCTCAGCGGTTCGGTGACCTGCCTTGCAAGTGCAAGGACCCGAGTTCAATCCCAGGTACCAAAACTAAATAAATAAATAAATAAAAAGATTAAACAAACTGCAGTGAATCCATACAATGGAATACTATTCAACAATAAAAATGAAGTAAAATATGTGCAGCATGAATGAACCCTAGGCCAAGTTAAAGAAACTGGCCACAAAACCTGATATTGCATGATTCCATTTATATGAAATGCCCCAAACAAGCAAATTTGTATAGACAAAGAGTGGATTTGTGGTTAGATAGGCCTTGGGTGCAGTTTGACAGATATGGAAAATGACGGATAGTGAATACTGGATTTATTTTACATATGATGAGAAGCATTCAAAATGAAGTTAGATGATGATATTTGTAAAATTATTTATACCTACTAAAATCACTTAATTATATACTTAATATAAAGCTAAAAATTATTGCATATAAATTATATAACAATGAATTAATAAAATTAATTACTAATACATGATAAGTCTAGTTATCACTAAGGTATTTTAGAGACATATGTTTAATTATTATAGCTGTTTTGAAAATTTCACCATCCCCAATAGCACATAAATAAAAGCAAAACAAAATACAAACATAAGCTTAGTGATTCCTTCCAGTGCGGAGCTAGCACAGTGCAGGAAGGGACTGAGACCCAAGTGCCCTCACTCCAAAGTACTGTGCATTAGAGGGTTCAGAAGCCCTCGGAATTGTTACATGCAAAGCGCCTTTGCACCACAGCCCCGGGACACAGAGAGTGTTATTTCTAAGTAGTAACATTAAAGAAGCAAATTTCTTTCTAATAGTCTTATTAACAGTTAATTGTAAGTGGTTCTGTGCTAGGTACAATGGCAGACACACTCTTAATCTGAGGAATGGTACTCTTTCAAGTCAGCAACAGCAATGTGGTCACCTAAAGGTGTCACACATACACACTCACGCAAACACTAGGCACCAACACACACATTTCTATGCAACATAGAAGGATCATGCAACAAACATAAATACGACAATACAGATCAAACAAGATGCAAATCTTCCACAACCCAAATTTTATAATTACAGTTCACGATACATATTTTCATGATACATTATTATCATTTGCATAAATATTACAAAATATGCAAGAGCAGAACACTGCGGTCCATACCTGTATTCCCAGCTCTATGGGTGGTGGGGGCAGCCTGGGCAATTTATAGAAAGCCTGTTTCAAAATGAAAGAAGCAGAAGTAAAAATGATCACGATGTGATCTGCATGTGTACCGACACCCAAGATGAACGTGGTAATTATGCATCAAAACTATGAAAAATAAAGTGAGTCAAGAAGTTTCTAAATTTCAAAGAATGGGCTGGACATACAGCCCAGCAGAAGAGCGCTTGTCCAGTACATGTGAGGCCTGGGATTCCATCCCTGATGCTGAAACAAAGACTGACAGAAACAAAGGAGATAGTCCTTACCCAGGGAATGCAAAATACAGTTTTGTAAGTGGCAAACTATTTTTTTAGAAAAGGACAAAAGCCAATTTCTTTTAAACTTGATGTGAAAATTGATGTCTTAATGAGAAAAGAATTGACTTTCAGTAAAAAGACAAAGGCAGGCCCAATTTCACCTTGCTGACATTTCCCAGACTATTCTGCAGGAGTAGCCTCTTTTCAGAAAGTATTTCCTGCTTAACTTCATCCAATCCCTGAAATTCAAGGAAGTCTTCTTCATAAAACTCCCCGCTTGACTGTTACATGCTGCCCAGCCCCATTTTTCCAAAATACTTTTATATTTACCCTCCATGCTTACTGTTACCGAGCTGTTTGAACACCAGTGAACTTATTAGCCAAGCTTCATGCTAATGAACTCATTAAATGAGCCTATTTTGTGCAAAGTGAAGAGTAATTTTATAAACCGATGATCTCAGATTCATAAGAAACTAATGTGCTTCACTTCTTTAACAAATACCTATTGGTTTTTACCTCTTGCCTTCAGGGACAGAGAATATATACATTTTTGATTTGCACAAATTGTAAAATCAAATGTGTTCAAGGATATGCCAACAGAATCCTGGTAGAGTAAAAATTCAACTTCCTTTCAGTAGAAAATTGATTTGCTTTATTCTTTTTCGGGATGACTTTTAAAAATCTTGTATGACACCATCATAAGATTCCCCAGACACAGCACAGAAAAAACATAATTAGATGGAGTAAGGCCGTACATCCTCCTCCGGACTTTAACAGGAAATATTCTGCTCACATAATTACTCAGAGAAACATTTAGAGTAACAGGAGACTGGTGTTACTGTACTCGAGTCCCCTCCATGACGGTGAGGAGCAGGAGAGTCATTCTGCAGCAGTTGGATTTGCTCAGTGTCCCCCTGACTGTGAGCCTTCAGCGGTACGCGGTCACTTTTTATCACCTTGGGTGAAAAGCAGTGGCTAGCAGGAGCTGGAATTGGGGAAACGCCCCTCTCAGGTGAGATACTAGGATACTGTGAAGTCATTTTCAGTGAAAAGTAGGCATTTGCTTTGAAGAATGCCTTGAACATATTTCTAAGTCGTATTTCTCATTCCCACCCTCCACCAGAGGCATAGGGTATTGCTTCTTCTCTCCTTCTCTAAAAATGCTGGTAGGTTTTCTGAAGTTGAACTCTGGAAGTATGAGAGTCTTTCTGTGAAGCAGGCCCTGGGAAATTATGGGCCTTGTTCTACTTTCAACAATAATCAACATCACCACTTAGTCTTCCCTCCTGGTTCAGGGCTCTCGCGGCTTCTGCTGTGGTATGCGGTGAATTCTAGGCGGGGGTCTCTGTGTTCTCACCTCTGTGAACTTTAGAGGAGCAGTTTGGCCTGTGAATTCAATTTTCCAACTGGCCTACGAAAATATACTGATTTTCAGTTTCTTAAAGGATTTTCTTTTCCTTATTGTAAGGGCGCAACTGTGGCCTTCCAAGTTTAATACGACCTCAACAAAATCAAAAGACCTATGACATAATTCAAAATCCATTAGGGTACAACTTACATAACACAGTATGGTCCAGTTCTGTCCACATGTGAGTGCTACGCTCAGGAGTATTCAGTACATTTGTATTTTGATGAAGCCATGTCCATCACACAGCTGCTTGCAAAACTGGAGCTCTGCACCCACTCAGCAAGGACTCCCTGCCACTCCTAGTCACCTCCAGTTTATTTTTGGTCCATATTATTTTGACCTCCTACTAACCTCACGCAATGCTTGTCCTTCTGTGGGTTAGAGTACGTTTTCTAAAGAAGGTCTGAACTGTCCAGCTGTGTTGCTGCCAGAATTTTCCTCCGCTGTAAGACAGAATAGCATTGGACTTTGTACAGAGGCTATATTTTGCATGCATTTGTGCATGCTTGAGTTGGTTCTACACTTCAGCGCTTGTGAGTGATGCTGCTGCGGATGTGAGTGTGCAGATATTCTCAAGACCCAGGGAATTCTTTGGGGCATTTTACTCCTTTCCATAGGGGTTCTAAAGCTGTACATTACAACCAATAATGCACAAGAGCCCTCACCAACACCTGTTATTTTCTATTGTTATTTTTTAGCAATTACCCCACTATGTATGAGATGGTATTTCACAGTGATTTATTTGTATTTCCTGAATAATTAATTATGCTGAGCATTCTTTTAATGTGCTTACTGGTGATTCATATAACTTCTTCGGCGAAATGTTTACTCAAATCATTTGCTTGTTGTATTTAGTTAACTTTTAGATATTTTCCATATATTTTACATATTAATTTCTTACCAGATATAGGTCTTACAAATATTTTATCCCAATTTGTAGATGTCTTTCACTCTATTAGGGTGTGGTTTGATTCCCTAAAATGTTAATTTTAATGAAGCTAACTTTGGTTATTTTTTATTCTGTTTCCTGTGCCTTTGGTGCCATTTGTAAGAAATAATTTCCAAATCCAACACTTTGAAAATTTAGCCTTATACTTTCTTCTAATGGGTTTATAATTTTATGATTTAGAGTTAGACCTCTGACAGTTTGAGTTAATATTCTATACAGTGTTACATGTGAGCTTCTGACTTTGCTTCTCTGTCCCCTCGTTGACAGGGCTGCTGTACTCCTGACCAGCTGGACCTTCACAGCTCTGCTCTGGAAGGTCACCTGACAGACAGGTGTGGGCTCCTTTCTAGACTCTGTGCTATTCCACTCATCTGTTGATCTTTATGGTCATTTAATCACGACATAAAATCAGGAATCAATAATTTAACAGCAAACAAAGGCCAGGGACTGGATGCTGTATTAGTGTCTATGACCAAATGTTTTTGAAAGCAGGAAGTTTAAATTCTTCAACTTCATTCTTTTATGAAGTTACTTTGGTACCTGTAGTCCCTTGAAGTTCCATATGAATTTTACAATGGATTTGTTTAATTCTGCAGGGATTTGGGAAGGGATTGCATGAAATCTGCAGGTTGTTCTTTGTGGCACTGACAATATTAAATCTTAATGATGTTGAAGATATTGAATTTCTTCAGTCATACATAGAACATTGTGTGGGCTAGGTCACCTTTTAGGACAAATGACAATAATTATTGAATTTAAAAAGATTTAATCCTTACAAGTATCTTTTCAGACCAAAAATATGAAATAGAAATCAGTTACTGAGAGAAAATTGGAAAAGTAATAAATATTTGGAAATTAACACACTCTTATCGAGTGATTAAAATAATAAATCACAAAAGAAAAAAATATCTTGATGCAAGTAAAAATCAAAGTACAACATGTCCAAATGTACTACAGATCCAATGCAGTATTGAAAGAGAGCTTTAAATGTCTGTGTAAAGTAAGAAGAAAGATTTCAAATAAAGCCCTAAACTTTTCTGGCAGGAACCAGAAAAAGAAGAACCAACGAAACCCAATGTTACCAAACAGAAACAAAAAATAAATACTAGAGCAGATATAAATGAAATAAAGAGAAAGAATAAAGTTGAAAAAAATAAATGACACTAACAGACAGTTTCATGAAAGGTCAACAAAACCGAAAAAAAAATAACTAGACAGAAAGAAAGAAAAAACTAATAAGAGAGTTTGAGGGTCAGGGATTTAGCTCAGTGGTGCCACCACCTGCCTCGTAAGGGCAAGGTCCCACGTTCGATCCCCAGTACCAAAAAATTAAAAAATTTTAAAAAGAGAGTTAGAAATGAACAAGATGTTATAGTTAACAGTGAAGAAATATAAAGGATCATAAGAGAATACTATGAACAACCCACAAGAAATTGTACATCCTAGAGATAAAAGATAAATTTCTAACTAGAAGCAATGTATCAAGGTTCTATCATGAAGAAATAGAAAATCTGAGAACATGAATAATGAGTCAAGATATGAAATCAGTAATCAATGACAAAAGCCAAGGACAACACAGCATCATTAGTGATTTCTATCAAATATTTAAAGACCAATTAACACTGACTTTTCTCAGTCACATAAAATTGTATGGAATATGTGCAAATATTTGACTATCAATTAAGCATTAGTAAGATTTTTTTGAAAAAAAACAGAGAATGTTAAAGTCAAATAAGATTTTTCTCAAAAATCATAGAAATAGTGGAACCACTTGGACTCATGTATAAGGCAACATAGGACAAAATGATATAAGAAAGAGTAGGAGAGATCAAAAACACAAAATAAAATAGAGTAAATTCAAATATACCAGCATTCACAGTGAATACGAATCATCTGATGTTATTTATTATAAGAGCCTCTCAGCACCGTTATTAAAAACCTTTCCATAGAGTCTTTATAAAAGGCATACTTTAAAGTGATGACCATAGTTAATAAAATAGTAAGCACAAAAATAGGTTATAATATAAAAGGTTAGTGCAACAGTGCTAATGAAATAAACATTTTAATGAAAATTTATTAAAGACTGAGGGATATTTGGTATTACTAAGAAGGAACACCCACTACCACAATATATCATGAGCTGTTACACCTCTGACACCTTTGTTTCTACCTACAAGGCCTTATATAACAGCAAGAGGAATTTATAAATATATACATAATACATAATAAGTTTTGGAAGATTTTAATAATTATTTCAGAAATAAAATAAGGCAGAATATGAAAGATTCAAAAGCACCCATCTATAGATTCTTATGCTTTTAGCACACAGTTTTAAATACGCCACACAGAGTTACAAAATAAAACTTTCTCACACTACTGTACGGAAATCCCCAACATCCTCTAACAACATCTGCACCTAACCGGCAGGGCTCGCCAGCCCTTAGGGAAGTGGGGGAGACCGAAGGTAGGAAGGAAAATACAGGGTAGGAACCTAGGACGTCTTGTGGTGCCAGGGTTCCAGGCCAGAAAGTGCCCGAAACCACAACGGAGCGGGAACCTTCTGAAAGAACCTCGAAAGCCCAGCCCTGTAAGGATGTGAGCAACGCCGCAGATAATGCAGTGCAAAGTTATAAACCAGAACTGAAAGCGAATATGCACCAGTTCATACGGTTATAAATAAATGATTTCATGAATACGCATGAGAAAAAGACACATCTCTGGTACAGAAAAAGCTCAATTAATCCCCAGTATGCGGAGCATTCCAAGCACTGCCTACTCTTACACCGAGGGACTTCTTTGCTTCCTTCCCCCACCCTGGAGAGCAGCTGCACAGCGCCAAGGTCTGATACACGGCCTAAGCTGCCTGACCGGCTCGTGGTGGTCCAGACCGGTCGCACAGACCGCACGCTGTCTCGCTGCGAAGCGGCAGGGACGGCTCTTTCCCTCTCCGATCCTCCTCTCCGGAAGCCGACCTGCCCAGGGGAGCCATGCAGCACGCATTAGGTCAGATTGAAGCCGGGACCTTCCCTGACCTGCCTCACCGCGACTCCGGGGAAGGCCCAGGGCCTCAGCAGCGGGAAGTCTGAGAAGCCGCTGCAGCCTAGCGGAGCGGTGTGGTGGATGCTTCGTGTTTATCTGTGATGGGATCGTGGAGGAAAAAAAGAGACAAACGCCCGAAGAACCTGGAGGAAAGTACGGCTTCGAGTTGCTGGTGAGGCCCCCTCGCTCCCCGCGTTGTGACGCACACATTCCACTCGTGAGGGTTTGCAGTACGGAACTGGCAGAGGTTTGCGGGAGCTTCCTGTCCCGTCTTCAGAACTTTCCTGTCAGTCTAAACCTGTTCTAAAATTAAACGATGGTGACGTCAAAACAATTTGTAACAGTGTTGAAATTTCACTGTGGCTGAGTTAAAATCTCTGTCAGATGATTCAGAGGATTCATGTTGTGCCCAGAAGTTCATCGTCTTCTATGATCTTGTTTGGTTTTCTTGATTTTGACATAACACGTGCTGTTTGACTGTATCCTGGATATTTCATCTTTTATATTAGGAGGCATTAGTTCCTTATTACCTTTATAAATTTTTAGCAACAATCTTGCCAGGTTTGGGTTCGCATGTGATGTTGGACACTTTGGTGAACCGCGATTGAATTGCAGCATTACCTCCAGATACTCGCAGCATTTCTTGGGTCTGCTGGTTTGTGGGGTGCTCTGGGCACTTGCTGGACTCTGCTGGCGTTTCAGGGGCCTAGGGGGCCACAAGGTTTCTCTGTGTGAACAGAAACTCGGGCCTGGAGGGTGAATACGATTTCCTACACCAGCTGCGTCACAGAGCCTCCTCCCCAGCGGCATTGCGTCTGCCCAGGGCTGGGAGCTTCTCCGGCAGCTGGGGGAAAGGAGCGTCCCTGACCAGATACTTTTTTCTGCTGGAGATACTTTTTTCTGCTGGAATCCTCACGTCCCTGGGGGAAAGAGGATCTCCAGGCGCTAACAAAGGTGCTGCAAGACCGTAAACAGGAGCCCAGCGGGACCTCCATCTTCATTTGTAGCTTTAGAAGTCTTCTGCCTTCTAGTCGCGCCATGGCATGTTTGAGTGTGCGTGGCGGGTGTGTGTGTGGGTGGGTACTGTTTTAAAGGTGCTCACAGCCCGGTGCTGTTTTGGCAGATGTGGGAATAGACTTGGTGGCTGTCACCTTATTCTCAGCCACTGTTGTCCTCAGTTACTTGGACATCCCTTCTCTCTCTCCACCCTCTCCCTTAGCCCAAGAAAATGGTCTCATCGCCTGCTTTGCCTGGAAAGGAGAGAAATTATAAATCCGCATACCTCTGTCTAGTCTCTGATCTCAGAACAGCACCCACTTCGGTAACATTTCTAGCAGCAGTTTACCTCTGGTCAGAGAACACCCTCTCACTATTCAAAGAATTTTCTGGAAACAACCATTTCCATACAAGTGACTCAAGTCCATCCTTTTTCATAACAGAGTAGTACTCCACTGGGTATAAGTATCACTTTTTTATCCATTTATCCGCTGATGGCCATATAGGCCACTCCCAACATTTAGCTATTACTGATTGTGCTGCTATAAATGTGGATGCCCCTTGAGACCATGATATTCAGCAAAGTAACTCAGACACACAAGCTTAAATATTGAATGTTTTCTTCTAGATGAAAAACTATATATACACATGTATGTGTATATATTATGAAGTAAAAGATAGTTGATAGGAAAAAAGAAAAAAGTGCATTGTTATCCACCATGGACAATGTATCTAAAAGTGCACCTTGACTTAGTACAATTGTCATACATGTCGTATATGTTTTTTGGCCTGTTAGCCTGGTTTTCAATCTGCATATATGATAGTTAGCTTTATAAGGTCTTATAAGATAAATAAATGAATCCAATTCTGGAGTATAAAAGGTAATGGAGGAAGGGGAAAAAGAATTATGCCATGGGATATACATGTACCCATTCCCTACAGTAAATGTAATCATCATGTAGCACAGATGCGGACCAGTAAAAGTAAAAAGTGCAACACATGAGCTTGAATTTGAGCCTGCTCAGGCAGGTGCCTGCCTCTGTACATGACACGCAGTCTCTCCTGTGAGAATGTGTGTAAGTTTCCCCAATAAAAGCCCCCTGCTCGCTTTGATCAAGGAGACTTTTTGAGAATTATCCCACGTGCTCCTTACTTGCTGCAAGTAATTAAGCATTCTTTACTCTTTAAAAAAAGAGTCTTCTGTTTCAACCAAAACTGTGTTTAATGACATTTTTCATTCTGCTGAATGGTCTGGAATTTAGTGAAAGACATGTTTTACATTTACATCAAGAAGACAATGTATTTATTAGTAAGGGTGACATTGAAACATTTTCAAGAAGTCTAGAAATGTGTGCAATAAACTGGTATTGTAATGCTTTATGTCAAACTGAATGAAAAGCTAGGAAAACCAAACCAGAAGGTGTTTTCTTTGTGATCGTTAAAGTTATCCAAAGTGACAAATGTGGGGGAGTTTCTATGACTCACAAAGCCAAATTGCTGAAATCCTAAATATTATATAACTGTCATTCTTTCACATTGTGTCTTTTTCATTTTTGAGATCTTTTTTTTTTTTTTTTTTGAGGCAGTGTCCCCACGTAATTCAGACTGGCCTTGAACTCACAGCGACCCTCCTGCCTCAGCACAGTACTGAGATTCTAGGTGTGCAATAGCATCTACAGCAAGAACTATGCAAATACTGCTTGAATTTCAATGGTGGGAAGGAGCAAAGGGATATGGAGAGCAGCCACTGCTATATTTCTTGTTCCAGAGAAAAATGTCCTGTTAGCTTTATTTTATCATCTATACTCTGAAGCGGCCTTAATTAACACATTCAATATGAAATCTTGTTTGAGTACTCCCTGCCTTGGTTTCCCTCAGCATGCAAATCAGCATGAGTATGTCAAATTCCTGCTGTCTGAGCAGCACCATTCAGATTCAGGGATTCTGTTTAGCAGCACAGAGTCTGCCCTTCAGTCCTGCTTCTCTTCGGCGACTGAGTTCGTAACACTCCCATGAGGACCCTGCACAGGAGCAGTGTAAGCACCGTAGTGCGAAGAAATGAACGACAAATCAGAACTAAAGTTTTGACTTTATAAAATCTTTGCTTCCTGCTCTGGATCTATATATATAAAAGAAGAATTGCACATAGTGCCACACATAATTATTATTGATACTCCTTCCATCTTTACCAAGGTGTAATTTGACTTCTCAACGTTTCGGTTTATGAGACAGTGCTAAGTAAAGGTAAATCTTTGGGGAGCTTGAAATTGGACTGAAAGATGGCTAAAGTTCCTCATCGTCTCGCCTGTCTGTAAAATGTTACTACGGCACTTTTATAATCTTACGACATGCAATTTTAGTGGTATGTTCTTTACAACGTCTGTGAGCTTCCCATGAATTAATTATTCCTTCTACAAGACTCACTTTGCAGCATCTGCAGTGGCAGTTAGTTCTGTCACTCATTAGTCAGGTCCCTACTAAAATTATGCAGGCATTCCTTACTACCTTCTTCTTGGCTATCACGTGACTGTGGGGCATCTTTTATTGTATTTGAGTAACAAAGTATAGACTTACTTTCTTTGTTCAGCTCATCACATAGCATTTGTTTTTTACACACTCTACCATGTGCTGGTCTGAGTATTCAGAATTAACAAGAGTCCTACCTCCAACAAAGATTTCTTTACGTTTTCTTTTCTTTTCTGGTGTGGGGGTTGCTACTGAGAATCCAACTCAGGACCTTACACTTTGGAGGCAGGCACAGTGCCACTGAGCTAAATCCCAGCAGATTTTTATATTTTGTTTTGTTTTGCTTTTTGGTGGGGGGTACCAAGGATCGAACTTGAGTCCTTGCACTTGTGAGGGATGTGGCAGAACCACTGAGCTAAACCCTGGCCCTATTTTTATGTTTTTAATGTAAACACATTATGAAAGCCTAGATTGTTGAACAACGTGAATTCTTTCTTCTGACATAATGAAAAATACTGCTCAGAAATGTGTCCTTCCAACTTAAAAAGTAAGAGTTTTGTAGCAAGGCCATATTTAACAGTCTTTTAAAATTATTATGAATATGACTCAATTTAAAAAGATCTTTAATAGTAAAGTTACATTCATTCTAGGGAATGGGTACATAGCACATCTCAATTTTCCCCTTCCTTTTAGTCCCCTTTTATCTTGCCAGTATCAGGTTCATTTATCTTATAAGTCATTATAAGTTAATTATCATAGATAGATAGATAGATAGACAGGGGTAGATTAACAACCAGGATAGGCCAAAAACATATAAATACATGGAACAATTATACTAAATCAAGGTGTGCTTTTACATACATTGTCCATGTAGGATTATGGTTACCTTTTTTCTCTCTTTTTCCTATTATCTGTCTTTTATTTTGCACTTTATTTGTATAATGAGTTTTACATATAAGTGAAACCATGCAATAGTTAAGATTGTGTCTGTTTTACTTTACATAAAGCTTATTTTTTATTAAGAGTAGGAAAGATTGATTGTGGGAAAGAAAGCTTCTGTCTAAGAGAGACAGAAGAGGGACCGGAAAGTGTGCTGCCCCTTACAGCTCATTTTTTCTAATTAGTTCAATAATCACCAAAAATAAAGATCAGCGATGAATCTGACACATTAATAGATTTGCTATTGTTTTCAGAAGTCTTCAGTAAGGCTGGAGTTGCAGCTGTGAGGAGGTGCTTGTCTGTAACACAGGAGAACTGAATCTGTTCCCCCACACAAAATTACTCCATCAGTCGATCAGTAACCCTTTTCCACAGACCAGAAAAATTTCTTTTTGCTGAATATTAACTTTCATGGGGAAAATTGAACCCAGCTATCTTCTGTTGTTCTTGCAGTAGGTTACATTATGTAAGTAAAAACAAGCCAATGCACAAAGTGAAACTCTTCAACCAAAATACATTGTTATGAAAGATTCTTAGATTCTTCACATGTGTACAAGTGTGAATACACCACATCACTCTGAGAATAAAGCAGTAGACTGCTGTGGGTCTCTATCCTCCCAGAGATGATCTATCTAAAGCAAACCAGTCCTGGGGTTGGTGGCCCTGGAGCA